CTTTTTTGGCCCGGCGCGGGACCTAGGGTGGGCGATTCTCACCCCGATCTGGATTGTGGTATCACCCGGCCGAAAACAGCAAATCGTCGGCGAAGCGCTGATGCTCGCGGCGACGCCGTCGCCGGCGATTCTAAGTCTTCTTTCTCTTCCTCTCCTTCTTCTTTCTTTGGGATCAGAAACGATGGCGAGGGTTTTTGACATGCACCTTAGCAAAGGAGATGTACTTGTTCATTAGGAGCTAAATCATCATCCTTGTATGATACATAACCGTTATCTCTTTCTTGCACCTCGCCATTTTCTTTTATCCTAACATGCAAGTTATTCTTTGTTGGATATTTGTAACTCATCTGCCCACTTTGTCCACATCTAAAGCACACAACTTCCTTACTTTTAGGAGTTTTGGAATTTGATGTTGATCCATTCTTCGACTTACCTTTTGATTCAAATGTATCTTTAGGAGTGGATTTTACATTGTTTTTTGGGATTGGATATTTCAAATATTCTTTCACATCAAGGATTGCTTGTAAGTTCGTGCTATAGTTGTAGGAAGTTGTCGAATTAATTCTCTTTTGATATCAACTCTTATTCCTGCCCTAAATTGAGGTGCTGCTTGACTATCATCTTCGACTAGTTGGCTTCTAATATTTTGTTCTTCATATTTTTACATGTACTTAGTTACTGACATGGTGCCTTGAACTAAAGTGTAGACTTGGTCACAAAGTTTCTCAAAGTAGTTAGGTGTTAGATACTTTTGACAAAGAATATTTTAGTCTCATCCCATGTTTCAATTGTTGGTTGTCTCATTGTTATATTTTCATCAATGGTATACTATCATATTTTTGCAAGTCTAACCAACTTCATCTTAGCAAATCGAACTTTTCATCCATCTAACATGTTATACCAATTGAAGTACTCTTCTATTGGATTAAGCCGATCGAGAAAGAAGTTGGGATCTCTTCTTTTATCAAAATCAGGAGCTTCAACCTTTATTCTCTTGGTAACTATGTGCTAGGTGACGATTTTAAGAAGCTTTTCTGGATAGAGTTTTTGGAGGAACCATTATATATCTAAAGGTTTGTGCCAGTTTTAGCTTTTGAACTTGAGGACGAACAAAAGAGAGGAGTTGATTACTCTTGTGGATTCTAATCAGCTAATTATAGATAAATTGTCATAACTGATACAAGTTACATGTAGGTCTTCCTAACCCAATCTGTTTGCTTTTTTCAGTTTTACTCAGATTTTAAGTGTTCAGTTGACCTTTTTTGTTGCTCAGTTTTATTTCTGGTTTTAAATGTTCAGCTGTGTCAGTTTTTATTTCTTTTGTTTTCCAGGAGCAAATCCTAGTTTTATTTTGACAGTTGTTTTTTTCCTGTTGTTCTGTAAACTTAAAAGTTGTGCTGAAAAATTTCAAACAAAGATCTTTAATACTTTCTTACTTCAGTAGATCGAGGGATTCTCTTTTAATGGGCCCGAGCTTATTTAGACAAAATAGGGCAGAAAGGGAGATGCTCGCAGAAGCATTCTGCCATTTCCTATTTTGATTTCTCAGTTCAAGGTCCCACAAGCAGATCCAGGAGTCAAATTTACCAGAATCAATCTTAAGAAACTATGTTAGTACTTAGACAAAATTTTGTTGTGTTTTCATCCTTTCTTTACTTTCTGAGATTAGTAGCAAATGTGACAGACTTAAAAAAAAAAAAAATAATCCTTTTATTCTTCTACAAAGAAGTACTTCAAAGTTTCTTATTTCACATTCTATTGACAAACTCAGGTACTCCGTTCTTGATGCTATTCTTCATGCTGTTGAAGCTCTTTCTGTTATAGATGATCATTCACAAGAACTCTGCTCAAATAAAGAGCTCTTCCAACTAGTTTGTGAACTGGTCAAATACCCAGATAAATTTGAGGTAAACTACAATCTGTAGCGAGTCTCAAACCCTCTACATATTCCATTCTTTTGTTTCCTTTCTGATTGTGTATAAATGTGTGTTCTCGAGAAGATATCTACTAGTGTTGTTTGATAACTTAACTTTCAACATAAATTCAAATATAACATACATATGTATGAAGAAGAAACAGATACATCAACACAAACATGAGCATGCATACATCATACATACATATGATACATGTGTGCATGTATATGCATGTTCCCTCTCTTTGATGGCTTTGCGTAAGTTAATCTGTTGTTTCTGCTAGTTGTCAAGTGCATGCATAATATTTTCTCTTTGGGGCTACTGTTATATACATCCAAATATAGTATTCTTTCCAGTAGGATAACAAAAGAATTCTTTCCATCTGCTGGCATGATTTTTCTTCCTTGCCAACAAAGAACAAACAAAAAGGATACTAATCGACTGACATGATTTCTTCAAAAAATCTTTCTCCATAGATTGCCACGCCTTGTGTCACTGCTACTATTTTGATTGCAAATATTCTGTCCGATGTAGCTGATTTGGCATCAGAGATATCACAAGGTAAGTTCTTTGTCCTATTTGCATAATTTCTTATTGTATTTCCAGCTAAACACATCATTCAATTCTTTATTGAGTATATATCATAACGAGATGCAACATTTTGGTGCATACAGATTATCAATTCTTGCAGGGTCTTTTTGATATTTTACCGTTTGTTTCAAGTGACTTGGAGGCACGAAGTGCTCTCTGGAGCATTGTTGCAAGGTTACTGATTCGAGTTCAGGAAGATCATATAAGCCTGACAAGTCTGCATCAGTATGTGCTGATTTTAGCAAACAAATCTGATTTAATAGAAGATGATCTTCTTAATGGTCAATTTGGTGAGTCCACCGCTGAGAATGATTGCTTAAACACTTATGAGACAATGTCAAATGCTAGAAAGGCAGCAGTATCCTTTTGAATGATTTGATTGAATTTGTGGAATATCATGTGATAAATTATTTCTACTGTTGAAAATAGAATATATTTTTTTTTTTGCCCCTAAGGGGCTGTAACCTTTGAACCTCTTGGTAATAGGGGAGAGACATAACCAACTTCTAATTTTGAGAATGGAAAAATTCTCTTCTACTTTTCTTATTTCTTTCACCATGAAATGCTTATTTATAGGAAAGGAATGCAACCAATTCCTAACAACTTTATGGGGGAAAGGAATAACAATATATGGTTACCGGACACACCTTAACCATTTGATGATTCCTCCCACTAGCAAACATAAATTAAACCAAATTCCCCTCTATGATTTTCTACACTCTCTCTCAATCTAGTTTACATATATGTTAAGTAAATGTAGATTGGATACAATGTCATCAAAGGTCTCTTTTGGTAGAGCTTTTGTTAGGATGTTTACAATTTGTTGACTGGTTGGAATGTGCATAAGAGTTATAGTTCCATCTTCCATTTTTTTCTTGATGAAGTGTCGATCAATTTTTACATAATTAGTTCGGTCATGATGTACTGGATTCTTGGGCATGTTAATGATTGATTGGTTGTCACATCATACTTTCATAGGAGTGTTAACAAAAGCTTTCAGTTCTAATAATATCCTCTTCAACCACACTCCTTCACATATTCCATGAGTGAGTGCCCGAAATTCGGATTCTGCGCTGCTACGAGATACTGCTAACTGTTTCTTGCTGCCAAGTGACCAAGTTTCTCCAGACATATGTAGAGTATCCTGATATAGACCTTCTGTCTGTTATTGATCTTGCCCAATCAACATCAGTGAAGATTGTAACATCCCTGTTCATTGCCTTTTTTAAGAACAATCCTTGATCCGGAGTCATCTTAAGGTATCTCAGAATCCGATATGCAGCCTTCATGTGTTCCTCAGTTGGTTGATTCATGGATTGACTTACTGTACTAACTGCAAAGCTGATGTTAGGTCTTGTATGTGCCAAATAGATGAGTTTGTCTACAAATCTTTGATACTTATCTTTATCAACTGTCTTATTACTGACATTGGATCCTAGTTTCACGTTTAGATCCATAGGTGTGTCTGCAGGTTTACTTCTGAGCATCCTTATCTTCTTCAGAAGGTTTAGAACATATATCCATTGTGATACTGAAATTCTCCTTTTTGACTGAGCTACCTCCATGCTAAGAAAGTACTTAAGCATTTCAAGATCTTTAATTTCAAATTCTTTAGTCAAAAACTCTTTAAACTTCTGAATTTCCTCAATATGGTCCTTTGTCAGAATGATTTCATCTACCTAAACAATCAAAATAGTTTTTTTACATGAGATACAGTGTTTGAGAAACAGTGTGTGATCTGACTGACATTGCTCATACCCTTCTCGTTTCACTGCATTTAGGAATCTGTCAAACTATGCTCTTGAGGATTGTTTAAGACCATAAAGTGACTTTTTGAGTTTGTACTTTATGAGAATTGTTTGTTAGTTCGAATCCTGGTGGGACATTCATGTATACTTCTTCTTCTAGATCGCCGTTAAGAAAAACATTTTTCACATCTAGTTGACAAAGTGGCTAATCAAGATTTGAGACAAGTAAAAATAGTACCCGGATTGTATTGTGTTTGGCTACTGGAGCAAATGTCTCTTGATAATCTATCCCATAGGACTAAGTAAAGTCTTTGGCTACCAGGCGAGTTTTATACTGATTCACACTTCTATCCGGATTGTATTTAGTTGTAAAGACCCACTTGCATCCTACCTGATGCTTCATTGGAGGCAAATCTGTTAACTCCCATGTTTCATTCTTCTCAAGTGCTCTAATTTTCTCATGGATGGCTGTTCTCCATTCTGGTACTTGGAGGGCTTCATAGATTATTTTCGGCTCTGGGGAACTACTATCTAACTTGTTAAACAAATGCATGATGTTTCGAAGACAACTTGCCAAATGAGATAAAGTCCTGTATAGAATGTTTAGTGCATGTCCGAGTTCATTTTCTTAAAGTAATAGGCAGTTCAGTGTCAGTATTAGTAGCAGGGACAGAGATCTCATTACCTGTTAATTTTTGGACATCTGGAGCAGGAATTGATTCATGGCAAGGCTTGGTCGATTCAGGCACTTTCCCTTCTTGAACCTTGTTCCTTCTAGTGTAGACACGTAACTCATTAATTGCGTGCAATGTGTTTTCAGTTATTGCCAATGGCTTAAGTTCTTTGTGTGTGGTTTCAGGTAAAGTATTAGATTCAAACTCTAGAGAATGTGCATTTGGTGAAATCTGTGGATAAAGAGAGGGTATACTCACATCGCACAATTGATATTTTTGAGTAAAGTTCTCCCCCTGAATATCAGTTGTGGGGTAAAAAAGTTGATTTTCAAAAAATGTGATATCCATTGTATTATAGAATCGACGGGTGTCTAGAAAGAGATATTTGTATAATTTTTTATTAGAAGAGTACCCAACAAAAATGCATTTGAGAGCTTTTGGGTCAAGTTTCCCAATAAGGTGTGCATGAATATGAATATATGCTAAGCAACCAAAAATTTTAAGTGGGAGAGTGTTTAAGATATGAGATTCAGGAAAAGTTTGTGGGAGGAGGTTATAGGGTGACTAAAAATGAAGGATACAGGAGGGCATTCGGTTTATTAAGTATGTGGCAGTGAGTATTGCCTCTCCCCAAAGGTATTTTAGGACATAAGTGGTAAACATGATTGATCGAGCAACCTCAAGAATATGCTTGTTTTTTCTTTCAGTTATGTCGTTTTGTTGTGGGGTATGCACACAAGAGTTTTTAGTAAAGTATTTTCTGAGGGTGGTTTCGAAGTACTCATATGCATTATCAGACTCCAACACTTGTATGGTGGCATGAAATTGAGTTTGAATTATAATATTGAATTTTTGAAATATTGTTCCAACTTCAGATTTTTCTCTCATGAAGAATACCTAGGTAATTCTCGTATGATCATCAATAAAGGATACAAACCACTTAGTTCCGATGATGTTAGTGATCCTGTAAGGTCCCCATACATCGCTATGAATTAATGCAAATGGTTTTGAGGGTTTGTATGATAGACTAGGAAATGAGTTTCGAATATGTTTAGAGAATTGATATACTTCACACTGAAATGAAAAAAGATTTTTATTATTAAATAACAAAGGAAACAATTTTTTTAGGTATAAGAAATTTAGATGTCTTAATCGATAATGCCACAATATGATATCATGGTCATTTTTTGAATGACTTAGAGAAACAGAGTTTGCACATGCTACATTGTGAGTTTGTCTCCTAGAGGTGTCGGCTTGAAGAAGGTATAACCCTTTATTCATCCTAACATTG